CAAAATATTGACAAAACTTTTGTCATGATTCTCCTCAAATAAGAACTCAGATAAGGTAGACATCATAATTTTTTTCCTCTTAAACAATCTTCATACAGTGCTTGGTCTACTTATCTGTCTTAGAATGTTATTTTAACTCTACTACTAGCACAATTGTATTTTTTATTGTCTATCTCCATGTCTAGCTTCTTGCTCAGTTTAAATCCAGATTTTATGGCCCATATTTAATGATAAATCGTTTTTCGTATCTGGTATAATAATTGAAAAGCTCCAATTATTCTGTTCTGTTTTATGTAAACAATATGAACAGAGTGGAGTTAGAAACATAAAATTTGTCAGACCAAATCCGAATTTTCTTTCATAAGAGAATGATTTCAAGGTTATATAAACAATTCTAAAGATGACTGAAAATCCTTTTATGTTGAGTTTAGCAAATCTTTTCCTAAGTATTAGCCTGGAAAGTTTGAGACTCCAAGCTGACTTTAAAGAGTCTCAAGGATTGTAGGTTATGTAATAAAATATTGGATAGTTGTCTGAATGAGTTTAGATGAGTTAATTACATCAGCTTTCAGTCAGGTTTAAAATCGGGCTAAAAGAGAGGTATGGTAATTCCTTTCATTTTTCCCCTGCATTCTTAATTGGAAAACAAAATGAAAAATAAGTGGATACCATTAAGTAAAAGGAAAACTATAAATATTCTCTGGAGATTTATTAGTGTATAGCAAGGGAGGATTTTTTATAGCTGAATTAAAAAATAGATTGAGATGCTTAATGTTAGCATATGCCAGTTGTAAATTATTATGCACAAAATTAGCACTTGAGAAAAATGTAGAAGTAATAGTTGAGATGTTGATGATTTATGGCAATAAATATAGAATAAATTATTTTTATTTGTTTATTGACATAATTTGCAATATGATGCCAAAAGATTATATGATATAGTAGGAAGCTAACTTGATTCTTGATTCCCTTGTGTAGATATACCAAAACAGGAAATTTCCTCTGGTTTAGCTGAGCAGTTGTACAAATTTCAAGTGAGCATGATTGTATAACCAACCAAAACAACCAAGACAGAGTACATTTGCATCTGTCTTAATTAACTTTCCATCACCGTGACAAATGCATGAGATAAACTACCTAAAGGAAGGAGTGTTTATTTGGCTCAGAGTTTCAGGGGTTGCTGTTCTTGGTCACTTGGCCTAGTTTGTTTGCTTTGGGGCCTGTGATAACATCATAGTGGTGCAAGTTCATGGCCAAGGAAGACTATTTATCTCATGGTGGCCAGAGAGAGAGAGAGGAGAGAGAAACACACACACACACACACACACACACACACACACGAGTCCTAATGTCCTCTCCAAAGGCACAGTGGACTAACTTCCTTCCATTAGCCTTCACCTTCTAAAGGTTCTACCACCTCCCAATAGTGCCACAGACTGATGACTAAGCCTTTAGAATAAGGGTCTTTGGAGGACCTTTAAGATCAAAATCAAAACAGCATCCTACCCTCAAATCTCCCATTTATTTAATGCAGTTCATCTGCCCAAACCCCTCAGCTGCTGGTAATATAAGAGTGATTTTTCTCCCTATGGTTCTAACTCTTCTAGAATGTCGGATAAATGAATTGATAAAAGTATGTAGCCTTTTGAGCCTGGCATCTTTCACTTAGTACAGTGCTTTTGAGATCCACAACTGTTGTTGCATGTATCTTCAGTTGTACCTCCTCCTTGCTGAGTTTTATTCCCTTGTAACTTGTTTATTCACACAGTTGAGAAGTATATAGGTAGTTTTCAGTGTTTGGAGATTATAAATACATCTTATGTAAACTCTGTGAATTGTTTTTTGTTTAAATATATGTCTCCATTTCTCTTGGTCAAACAAATAACTACATATGAGATTGCCAGGTCTCGTGGAAGCATGTGTTTAAATGTTACGAAACTATCCAGATCAGTTTCCAAAGTACCTATAGCATTTTGGATTCCTATCACAACACACTGGAGTTGTAGTTGCTTCACATAGACTATGTGCTTTTTACAAATTTTAAACAATAATTTCTTTCTTTTTAATCCCTTTTAATATTATTTTTGAAATACGTTTGCTAAATGGAAATGGGGTGGCAGGTTGAATTACTTCCATTTTTTCTTAGGAGTTAAAAGAACCTAAAACGAATGCATGTGTGCATATGTTTGATGACAATACTTTCCATGTCATTTAAAATTTAGGGTCAATAATTCAGTTTCCTGAATATATAGGGTGATTACTTGAGAAAAGTCTCTAGAGCCTTATTAATGTTTGAGGCTAAATGTCCCCATGTAGATGACAATACCAATCCATCTTTATTTGATGCATTTAGCAGCTCATGAAAAGAACAATTTAGAAGAGTTAGTCAACTTCAAAAAAATGTCCAAACCGATGATAGTTCTGATGTAGGTAGAATTGGTCTCTACAGATAAGGCAGGCCACTTAGACTAAAGTGATGTTTCAATTGCCCTGTAAGTCATTCAATAATATACTAATGGTACTTAAGCAAAATTTAGCTTCCCTAATTTATAGAGTGGCAATACTATCTTGCATTCAATGCTTAATGTTTGTATTTTATTATGCTTCCTTTCTTTCTGGGATCAACACCAGAGATGAAAGTGAATTTTACAAAATAGAGACATTTGGACTTATTTTCTTTATTGAGCATTTTCTTAAGACTAGATCCATCACATAATTTACAAAGCCTTTTTATAAGCTTGAATTAAAATAGGGCAAAATAGAGTTAAACCTCAAGGTTTAAAAATTTGTTCTTGAGATATGATCTGTTACCAAAAGGCTTTTTTATTTTAATGAATTTCTGAGTTAATATTCAAAAGAGACAGAGACTGCAAATTAGACATACAGTTTGACATTTTTAGCATCTCAACTTGAACCTATTGTCCATTAACTCTCAAAAATCCTAACACTTAGGGGATTAGCATATTGAAGATGTTTTGGTAAAAACTATGATTAACTTGTATGTCAGAGTGAGACCCACTCTCTTCTCTCTGGGATTGCTTCTGTTGTTTTCCCACTGGAAATGAATGTTGATAAAAGCAACAACAAGTTTCTCATATAATGTGAAGAAAACTAATACAGAAATAAGCTTATGCAAACACAATCTCCTCAGAGGTGCTACTTACCTGGGTGTGGCCTGCTCTGGGTTACAGATATATATATATTTTTTGCTTTAATTTTCATAAATGGCCAACTCTTCAATTTGTTGACTATAGAAGGAGAAGATTTGAGCCCACACACTAAAATGGATATCTATCAATCACTAAATTTAGCTTACAGGTGTATAACAGTGACCTTTTCCATTGAATTTGGGGTGTTGTCAGTTTTTTTTATCCCTTCTCATTATTAAAGTAGTAAGAGTCATAAAGAAGTGTAGCCAAGTCATTCTGTTTATTCTTATTTACACAGATGTGTTCTTTTTATTGGCAATTCTTCTGAGCTGTTTATTAACATGTTCTGTGTTGTATTGCAGATGGATATCTGCATATTGATCCAAATAATTTATTACTAGTAATTAATTTTTCTTCTCTTGTGCCTTGCCCTCTTTGCTAATCATTTACAGATTCTTTTTGTATAAAACAAAAAAATTATAGTATGTTCTGCCAAAATTTGATAGCTGATTTCTGTTTATTGAGAATAATTGTGTGATTTGGTACTGGGCTTTCTTCCTGCTTTTATTTTTTCTTTCTGTCTGCCTATATTATTTCTTTCAATCATGACAGTGGTGGAAAGAAAAATGCATTTTATATTTGGAATGATTCATTGTAAGGCAGCAGGAACATTCTTGTATAAATAACACCATTAAACGTTCCTCCGGCAATATCAGGTTAACTGTATTTGCCCACTAGTTAGGTGCTTAATCATTTCTCAAGTTGATTAATATCCTTCATGACAAATCAGAGGAGAGAAAACCCTGATAGTCCTCAAGAAAGCCTTGAATGATGAGGCAAGGTGGCAAGAGGTTTAAGGTCAATAATTTGACCTTTTATAATTCTCCCTGGACTAGAACATTGTTAGGTGATTTAGGTGATAACTTTTGGTGGATAATAGAATTTGTAAAAATGAAATAATTTCAGCTCCCCACTTACAGCATTGGTGAAGAAAAATAAAATGGAAACTTTTGTTCATATAATAGTGGAAAAAAGAACATGTTAAAAGTTTGAGTTTGCTAGAAGTTCTTTACCATAAAATTATGGAGAGATTCCTAGTAAGTAGGCAACACATTAGCATAAGTATTAAAATAATTCATCATGATTAATACTGTTATAGTACATCTCAGCCTTAATCACAATATGCCATATACTATAGTGGTTTGTCCATATTTCATATTTTACTGTAGTTTTGTGGAATAGCAGCTCCAGTAACAGCACAAATGTCATCCAAGTTCACTGTGATTAATGTGGCTCCAGAGGAGATCTAATAAGGATTACCCAATTTCATAAAGTGTTACTGAATAAAGTCCATGTGAGAAACATTTTAAATCCCTTGAAAATGTATATTCTGGCATGTAACTCTGGGAGCCATTGGATTTCTAGAATGATGAGGAAATTGACTCTTGGAAATAGATAAACTACTGATAGGAAAAAAGCAAAAGAGGGGACAGGGAACAATAAATTGCCTTTCAATACTTAAAGGCTCAGAAGAAAACAAGATAAATCCAGAACGAAGGTTGAAAGTGATAGGAAAGTAGCAATAATCTGAAATAGTGAAATGTCAGAAAATTGAAATTCATCAGAATTGCAGTGTGCTCCATGGGTCTAAAGAACCCTCAAATAATATTTCCAGTTACTGGAAGGAGCCAAGGAGAGGCAAGATGACCACTTTGGGAACTATTGTGGAGTGTGTTTTTAAAGGTTTGGAAGAGGATTATTTTTTGGGTAAATTCTGAGTTCCTTTTCAGGTATGAACTTCCACAATGTAATGTCCTTTACAACATCAATAACTTTTTACATTTTTCTTAGATTTTGGTGGAGGCTTCTGTGGGTGATGGCTTCACTGGAGATATTGCAATTGATGATGTATCATTCATGAACTGTACCCTCTACCCAGGTAAGAGAGAATATTTCTATATATGAATGTTTCTAAACACGTTTACTTGGAGAAACTGCCAAAAAAATCAATATTTCATTTTTTCAAAATATCCTAAAATGCCCTCACTTCTATTGTTCCTCAAATAATTAACTCTGGAAACATGGTTGTAAATCTTTGCTAGCAATTCTTTTAAAATCTGCAAACATGTAAAGTTCTTTGAGTCAGTTATGTCTGTGTCCTCTCACCTGCAAAATGCTAGGAAGAAATGTCAGAAGTTACAATGTAATTTCCTTATCTTCAAGGAGTTAACATAAGCAAACCGATTGCCTTATGATTACATCGTGTTTGAGAATTCATTCATCTCTCAGTTACCTTCAGTTATATTTTACTCCTGAGCTACACTTCAAATATTCTAAATGTTGGCAACATTTTATCTTCCCCATTTTATAGATTTATATCTATTAAAAACACAATATGTGTTTCCCAGATTTATACGTCTATTCCCAAACTTTCCTCTGAACTCCATATTTATTTACTACTTAACATCTCAGTTTGGATGTCTAATAAGCATCTCAAAGATAACTAGGGACAATAACTTAAAACAAACATAGCACAGGCTTGAAATCTCAACATTGTGGGAAACTCATTCTGGATAGTGCATAGGGATCCAGTTAAGACTGGAAGTCAGATTCTTGGAGGTGACCCTGGAACTCATGTGGGAAGCTCTTCAATGGCATTATAGGAGACACAGTCTCCTCCCTGGAGTGAACAGAGGCTGGCACCCAACAGCACTTTTAATTGCTGACAATTAAACCTTCAGTCCTGTTCTCTCACCTGAGCATCACTGGGCAGGAGAGGACAGTCCCTCCCTAGGCATAGCCAAGGGATCCATTTCAGTCCTCATGGTGCTCCTCTGGTCCTCCCCTCCACCTTAGTGTTATGGCAGGCTTGATTGCCTTCACCCCTCTGTGTCATGCTTTATGTAGAACTCACAGAAAGCCGATTCCTCAGAAGTCCAGCAAGCAGAGAAAATTGACCAAGTTTATCCTCACTACTCAACGTCTGAAAGGAAATACCTGATGAACTAGTTCTCTCTATTCTTCCACTCTCTCATACTTTCCTATCTTGGGAAATTAGTTCATTTCTGGTTGCCTATTCCACATTAACTAACCTGGGAAGCCATTAGCCTCTGATCTCTCCAGAACCCATTATAGCTCTTCACTTTCACTAATTATTGCTTGGTTCAAGCCAGCCTCATTTACCATGGATTATTGCAGTTGCTTTTTGAATGATCTCTCTGCTTCAATCCTTGAACCAGATACTCTATTTTAGAAACAGAAAGCTGAATGGGCTTTTTAAAACTTAAATAAGATCATATCCCTCTATCACCAGAGTCTTCTTATGACTTTCTCATTCAGAGCAAACATCATACTTCTGCTAATATCTTAGAATAAATGACCCGCTCCCTCAGACTTCATGACATCAATTTCTACCAGTGTGCCTCTAGTTCATTTCTCATAAATGCAAAGGCCTCTTGCTGAGTTCTGAAGCACTAGGCAATTTATAGTCAGGGCTTTTCCATCTGCTTCTCCCTTCTTCCTGGAATATGCTTCCTCTAGATGTCCACTTGACTCTCTCCCTTAATTCCTTCTGATCTCTACCCAACAGTTCTTCTTCAATAAAGCCTTCCCTGAACACTATATCTATATAATCTCTTTGACTTTTTCTGTGTCTGTTCTCTGTGGTTTTTTCCTCCACAACACCTGCCATGCTTAGAGTTCAATTCCTCACCCCCCCCACCCTGGCTGGATTGATGTTAGTTGCATGAAAGCTGGCACAGGACCTGCTCATTGTTTTATCTTCAGTAGCTAACACAGTATCTGGTACATGGTAGTACCCATGAATATTTGCTGGGTGGACAGGTAGCTACAGAGATGTGTTTTATATTCCTTCATTTCCAATTTTAACTTATTGCTAAAGTATTAAGTACTTTTGTGTGCAAGATATTATGTTATGTGTCAGTCAGATTTTTGAAAGCCAAATCTCTGGAGATTAAAACCACAAACATTTCTTTCTTTTTCTCAAGGATGTGGTTTGGCTTAGAATAATAACAGCAATGATATATGCTTCTAAGCTATGTATCCTTTTTCCTTGTATTTTGTCAGTCTGGGACCACAGCTAAAGGACCACATCCCTATCCTAGGATATTCTATTGTCAGAGGGTAGAAAAAGAAAATGAAGCACACTACATTCATGTGTACCATGGGCATGGTACACATCTTTTCTGCCCATTTTCATTGCCAGAGAAAACCATTTGGTCGAGTCTAACATTGGGGTAGGAAAGTAATCTCCAGCTACTGGATCCCAGGAAGGTGGTAAAGAAATTCCTCATAAAGAGAGGGAGCTACTCACTGGGCATAATAATGCAATCAACCATTCATGTGTTGTCTCATAAAATCCTGTTATATTGTAAGAATCTAGAATAGTGCCTGGTTCATTAGAGATGAATAGATGTTGAACACTGAATACAATTGGTGTCTTAGTCTTCCCCATTTTATGGAGAAAACTGAGAAGGAGATAACCTCCCAAATGGTATTGAGCTGTAATGTATGACACAGATCACTGTATCTATATCCTGAGACCCTAATGTCAACCACTAGTATTATATGCTGCCCATCAAATGCACTAACCCTATAAGGAACAGCTGACAGTTTGCATTTTACAGTTTTGAAAAAATGAAGCTTAGAGAGCACAAGTGACCCAGATAAGAATATGCAGTAAAGGGCAGGAATGGGATTATAACCTAAGCTCCCTCTGATTTTAATGGCCAGGGCTTTTCCTACATCCCCTCCCAGTATGAGATTAGAGTGAATCACTGTGACCTTGGAGGCAGAGGAGAAAAAAACGAACTCAGCAATGCAACATGAATCATCCCTGGAACTGCTGATTCCCCAATTATCCTGTGAAATCTGTTCTTTGGCTGATAGTTCCAAGGTGGAGGTGGAGGTGTTGCCAGAGGCACAGACAGAGAAGTGAAATATCAGTTACACACTGTTAGTCCCAATTTTCTGGTTCAAGTTTTGGAAGAAAAATATGAAACTTTTAATACCACCTAAACTGTGTAGTTTCGGTGTTGGCTTCATAACAAATTAAACTCGGGGTTAAAACCACAAAGCCTATTGAAGTCACAGATTTTAGAAAGGAATTTGATGCCATCTCACCATAAGATGCCACACAAAAATACAATAAAAATATTGCTCTTGATGCTTATGGGCTTTTTTCATAGCATCATGTTATGTTTGCTGAGGTGAGACTAATGCTTGTCTGTTCACTTATAGACATCAATTTGTTTTTTCAATATTAATTGATTACCTATGGCATTTGTCCTTGTTAGCCAAAGCACATACACATATACATACACACGCATAAAAACACAAACACTTACCTAATTTCCAAAGTACACATTTTATATTACTCATAATTATCATTTTATATAAAATGGCTCTAAAGGTGATTATTCCATCTATATCTGTTACTTCAAATTCAACCTCTCTTTCCTTCATGGCCTCCTTGTTACTTTTAATCTCATCACTCTTCTTTAGCCATTCCAGCTGAAATTCCACCATCATCTTTGCCTTTCCTCTTACACTTGTCCTGTTGCAAATCCTGCCGACTACAGCCCCCAATATTTCTACATCTGCCTGTTTTTCCCAGTTACCTCTGCCATGACCTGCTTAAGACAGTATTGACTTAAATGGGAAGCTAACTATAAACGTTTATTAATTTTTCCCCAGGAGCTTTTATGCCACTTAGTTTCTTGTCACTTTGCTCTTCCAGGTCCATTCTTGCATACTCTATCTTCTAGTTGTTTCTAATTTAATTTTCAAATCATTCTTCATTACAGATAGTGTACTTCAATACTTTGATGATAGTGTTAATTTTTTTCATCTTTCTTGAGGTAGAATCCACAAAATTGGGTATTTTTAAGTTGTGTAATGTAATATTTTATTACATATGGACATATGTGAAACAATTACCACAATCAATATAATTAACATACCCATCACCTTGCATAGTTATTTTGTGTGCATATTCATGATCTACTTTCTTAGCAAATTTCAAGTATATAATACATAACTGTTAACTGCAGTCATCAGAAAATTACTCGTGATATAATTGAACGTTTGTATATTTTGATCAATATCTCTTGATTTCCCCTGACCCTTGACCTCTGTTTCTCACTCTTCCACTCACTGTCATGTGGTGAGTTCAACTCTTTTAGATTCCACATATAAGTGAAATCATGGCAGTATCTGTCCTTCTGTGTCTACCTGATAAGATATTTGACATATCTGTCCAATGTGACCTATTATACAGGGCATTTTGCTACTACCCCAATGTCAGGGTTTTGTGATTTTTTAAAACTAATACTTTACATGTGTTTGTATCTCACATTTTCTTTAGTCATTCATTCATTCATCCATTCACGTACATTTAGGTTATTTCCATATCTTAGCTGTTATGAATCATGCTGTGATGAACAGAGAGAAGTACAGATACCTTTTGAAGACAGAGATTTTATTTTCTCAGGATATGCACTCAGAAGTAGAATTGCTGGATCATATGGTAGTTTTTCTTTTAATATTTTGAGGAACCTCAATAGTGTTGTCCATAATGTCTATCCCAACTTATATTCCAATCAACACTGTATAAGGGGTTCCCTTTTCTCCACATCCTCACCAACACTTGTTATCTTTTGATTTCTGATAATAAATATCCTAACAGATGTGAGACAATAACTCACTGTGGTTTTAATGGCATCCTTGATCATTAATGATGTTGAGAAGCTTTTCATAATTCTGTTGCCTAATCATTTGCTTTCTTTGGGAAAATATCTATTCAGTCCATTGCACAATTTTTAACTGGGTTATTTGTTTTGTTTTGTTTTGTTTTAATATTTTGACATTGAAATCTGATGAATTTCTTAGATATTTTGGGTGTGAACTCCTTATTGGATA